GCTATATCTTTTGATAGCCGGGCACCATCAGCATTCTTCACCACATTTGCTTATTCACCCGCTTTGTCTTCAGCAGTTGTGTTGGGAAGGTGAGCATCACAGAATGCCAATTTAATTGAAGAAAGTATTCTTGCATTGAGGGAGTACTTGAGTGGAGGCCCATACCCACCTCACCACCAATTTGGATCACTTGTTGTTCCCTTGTTCCTGGGTTTGCTAACACACTTCCTTTCCCCCCCACCTCTCCCTCTCCCATGTCCCCCAGGAACTGTCGGTCCCGTTGTTTTTTCCTCCAGATTGTTCATCCAGCCTGTCTTATTTAGACAGACCTGAGGAGATTATAACATGCACAAAAACAAGACAGAGCAAAACCAAGCAACAATGTACAGTAAAACAACAACAAACCCATGACAAAAACAAAACACAAGAAAGAAAAGCTTGTAGTTAGTTCAAAGAAACATTTTTATCGAACAAGTCAGTATTGTGTGAGAACCCAGAGAAACCCAACTTCAAAATACTTAATTTTATATCCAGCTGATGCCTTATTATATAGATTTCTTTTTTGACTTACCTCCAAACAGGCCGCATGATGAAGTGTTTACGATGTCCAGTTGCCTATCACTTAGGAGATGCTTGCATTGCTGCTGGGAGCAAATTGGTGTCCCCCTGCTCTTTCATCTGTAGTAATCATTCCCAGCGGAGCAGTAATTCTTCTGCTGCTGTAAATGTAGGCTTTTGTTTCGTTTGTGCAAGAGGTGAGTATCAGTCCTTTCACTGTTTTTTCTATTCCTTGAGTACATTGGCATATTCCCCTTCCCTATTAAAATAGAGTATCAGCATTGGGAGTGAACTCAGGTCCTCCAGTTCAGTCTCCCATCCAGTGCAGAATTCCATTTTATAACATCTCACTTCCTTTTGTAGTGTCTTGAAATAGGCTTTATGTTTTAGAACAGCCTTAGGTTCACTGGAAAATTGAACAAAAAATCATCTTGCATCGTATGGTACATTTGTTAAACTTGATGAACTGATAATGATTGACACCTGTTTTTAATTAAAGCCCATAGTTGACATAAGGGTTCACTCTTTGCGTTCTATGGGTTTTGACAAATGCATAATATCCCATAGCAACCATTTCAGTATTGTACAAAATAGGATCACTATTATAAAAATGCCCGGTGCTCTGTCCCACCCCCCCAAAAAACCCATACAGTTCCTTTTTATAATTCCTTTTATAACATTACACACCCAAATTGTCAAACTATTCATTCTTCCATAAGTGAAATTAAGATCTTAAAAAAAATAGTTAACCTAACATTATAGATAAATTCTTCATTTTTCTATTAGGAACATCAAAGAGGATCTATTGTCTTCTCTATAAACAATTCTTCTATTAATTATAGACCATTCCCATATCAGGATGTTTAATCCAAAGCTTTCAACTGATTGAGATTTCACTTGAAAAGCAAGCTAGCACATTTATTTTTTAATTGTTGATGTATATTATCATAATGTTTTGGTCTGGCATTAATGGAGGCTTGGTGAGATACAACCAAGGCAGCATATATCATGGTGTTAATTAAGGGCCAGCTATACAGGCTTTCTTACTTGCCAGCTGTTGATATTAAAATATGCCAAGAGATTGATCTGGCCTTCATATTAACTAATAATAATACTTTGTCCCTGGGCAAAGGTTGGGAGAGGGATGTCAGTGAACTCAACTTCCTAATTAGTAGAAAATAGAACCAACTTTAACTGAATATGGTGTAGGGGTATGGGCATCCAAATTTATCACATCTGTAGAAATATCATAAAACATTTTTCTGGTGTTAAACATTTTAGAAACCAACTAATATTCTCAAATGCATGTTTGCTTAAAAAATACCATTTATACTCGAGTGTATACTGACCTGAATATCAGCCAAGGCACCTAATTTTACCACAAAAACTACATTAAAGATGCTGAAAAACTCAGCTTATGCACGAGTATATATAGTAATTTTATTTAAAAAAACTAATGCAGGTTTGCTTCTTTTAAGTGTTTTTATAATTTCCCTTATTGTGATACATTTGTAAGGACACTAAGGCATATCAGACCTATTCAGTTTAGATTTAGCTTATACTGAGGATTAGGCTTTAGATGGGTTGGGCTGCACGTGTCATATTTCTTTTTGTTTTCTTTTGGTCTTGCTCTAGGAGATAGTTCTTTTAATTTGGTGAGAGTATTTTTTAGAATTGATGTGGTATGGTAGGCTTTTGCTTATTTTACTTTTGTATCTGTCTTCCTCTTTTTTTTCTTTTTTTTTTTTTAAGAGAAGAGGTGGGCAGTAAAGTATTGAGTCAAAGGTGAGTCCTTGATGTAGCAGCCAGGCCCATGGTACACAGTTTTCACTGCGTAAGCATACTGGGCTGCCTGCCATTAGGAGAAGCATAGGCTTTCTTTACTAGAGCAATTACAGTTGTATCCTGCTTTGAAATGGGACTGGCACATGGAGGAGTAGGTTTGAAATATTTCATGTCACTTTGCTATTACTAAGGTGACAGGATGTTGATAGGGGAAAGAAATAAAAAGGCAACACTAGTTTTTTTTCCATCTCCCCCCCATTTCTAAGACAGTAGAAAGAAATAGTGAACAATCAAATTACTTGGAGAGACTTTTAAAGCAATTAACCACAGTGAATAAGAAAGTCTATTATGTTAATTCTTTGTAGTCTGTCCTTCCTAGTCGCGTTTACTGGCAGTTTATAAACATATCACCAAGCCAACATTTTAACTGCCAAGTTCATAACTATCACATTGGCTTACCTTTGGGCACAATGAGTCAGGTAGCATCAGCATGCAAACGAAGACTTCCCTTCAAATGCTGTAATGCGGGAACCTATAAAACACTTATGCTGAATGAAATATTCCCCATCTATGAGTTGTAGAAAATAGTCTATCTGGCTCTAACCATTTTGTTAAATTTAACCTATTTGAGAGTAATAAAAATGGGAGGGTATGTTTTAACAACAAAATCAATATCGGTTTTTATCAATATGGCAGTTATTCTGAAAGATTTATTTAAGAGTAAATTATAGTGATGATTATATTAATTTCCATATGTGTCACTGTAAAACTTTGTGTAGTAAAAAAAAAATTGTGCAGTAAACAAAACCTTCCTTTTTCTTACCAGCTTTCAAAATAGCATATAAACAATCAGGTGTTGGAATTTGAAAAGGCTTAATTATGCACAAACTTTTCAGAAGTAAACATATAATGTGTTCTTTTTTCAGTATTTATAGAGGCCACCTTTTTAAAGAGACCTAAGGAGCCCTGGTGGCACTGTCGGGTAAGCGTTGAACTGCTAACCGCAAGGTCGGTGGTTCAAACCCACCAGCAGCTCCGCGGGAGCAAGAATGAGGCTATCTGCTTCCTTAAAGATTTAAAGCCTCAGAAACCCTGCATAGGGTCTCTCTGAGTTGGAATCAGCTTGAATGACAATGGGTTTGGTTAAATGTAGTCAGGAGAACCTGATGGTGTAGTGGATTATATGAGTTGATCACTATGAATTGGAATCAGCATGATGGCAGAGAGTGTGTGGATTTCAGTGCAGTAAATTTGAGAAAGGGACACTGTAAGCTTGTGTTTTGATATTAGAGCATTTGGCTAGTTTGGAGTTTGCATCTTGCCTCCTAGAGTTTTTCCCACATCAGAGAACTTTGGGTTCATTATTGTTTATCACTTGCTTAAAATCATTAAGCTAGTTCTGAAGGACTAAATTTCTAGAAAAAAATTAAGAAAGGTTTAAGCAGTGGTTCTCAACCTTCCTAATGCCGCGACCCTTTAATACAGGAACTCCCAAACCATTAAATTATTTTCGTTGCTACTTCATCACTGTAATCTTGCTACTGTTATGAATCGGGCGACCCCTGTGAAAGGGTCGTTCGACTGCCCCCTACAGGGGTCGTGACCCACAGGTTGAGAACTGCTGGTTTAGAGAGAACCGTTGCTTTCTTCCACACCCTCCAGCTAACCTTTGGTACGATAGGAAACATTCAAGACATTTTTCATTGGTTTATATAACCTTCAGCATTTTCTTTTATCTAGAGGTTGGTGTAAAGGAAAAGGTAAATTACCTTGCTTTGATGGTACTTTAGAATAGATTAGATTAGGGGTTTCCCTTCATTAAATTAGTAATAATAATTTATTTTGCATGCATAAATCAAACTGTAGTAGGCACTTTATTTAAATGAATTTCCAGTTGCCTTAAAGTTATTTCCCCATTTTATACTGATGAGAAGACTGAAGGCTGATTGAATCACTGAAGGTCATATAAATTCTAAGTAAAAGACTACCGTTTATTTATGCCTGATCTTCTTTTAAAGGCCATGTTTTTTGCTTAACACTGCCTCCTATGAATGTGTACAATTTATTTTGACATTGCCTGACTTCTGTTTGAACATTGTGTTGTTAGCAATTTCAAGTTCCATTCTTTCATCTGGGTCAGAGATAGATCTTGAATCTATCTCTGTTAGGGTAGCACCAAATGAAACAACCCCCACAAAAGAAAGTAAATGGCAACCCCTTGAAAAACAAACCTCTTATCTCACCTCAAAATGATCTTTAAATGAGCCTGCTATACTCTGCCTAGTAAAATCCCAGGTCAGTGTAGAATGGAGATGGGCAAAATGTCTCACACACCCCTGGGTTAGGAGGGAGCTGAATGGATGGAGGGCAGAGAGTTGGAGAAGGAAGATAGGCATAGGTTGTAGCACAGCCTGTGTTGCTTTTCAAACTAGGTAGCTCTCCAAGGGACTGTTTTTTATTTATTTTTTTATTTTAATAAACCCTTAGGTTGGTAATCACTTTATAGCTGGGCAGCCAACATGTAAAATAATTTGCATGTCTTTAGTAAAGGTAGCAAATTATAGCTTCTTGAAAATCCTCATCATATTAATAAAGTTTCATTGTTTAGCAAAGAATGTTAGCTTTATTTTCTTCAGGAGTTTTCAGTATGACATCAAACGCCGTTTACATCCTCAATTGAATCTGGAGTTTCTTCTGAGGCATATAGGTTCCCACATAGGGTCACAGGAGTCTTGGTGGTGCACTGAGTAAAGCATTTGGCTGCTAAGCAGTAAGCCAGTGGTTCGAATCCACCGGTTCCTTCGAAGGAGAAAGATTTGGCATTCTACTTCTGTAAAGATTTACAGCCGTGGAAACCCTATGGAGCAGTTCGCTCTGTCCCACAGAGTTCTTATGAGTCAGAATTGACTGGATGGCAACAATTTGGGGGCTTTTTTGTATTTTGTTTTTGTTTTCGGAATGTAGGGATAAAGAATTGAATAGCCCAAATTCCCTTTAATAACTACAGAAAACCTTTTCTTTCAGATCTTTCTTTTTCTTCATATTCTCTTCCCTAGCCCCGCCCCTTTACCCCTAACTTTAAAGTACAGCTACATCCTTTTTTTGGTTGTTTTCTTTTTCCCCCTTCATGGAATCATGGGTAGTTTCATTGCAGCTCACCTCTTTCTGTTTGTTTCGTATAGGGCTGATAGTTCAGGACCATTCAGACCCCATGTTCAGTTCATATGCCTATAAGTCCCACTACCTACTGAATGAATCAAATCGTGCAGAGTTGATGAAATTACCTATGATTCCTTCTTCGTCAACTTCCAAAAAGAAATATGAGAAAGGTAATAATCAAATAGTTTTTCTCTTGCTTTTATTTTTGCATTTCCTTTTTTTCTTTCTTTGAAAAAAGGGGGGAAATGTATTATGCCTGTCAAGCACCATCTGTTGCTTTTGGTAATCCCTGCCTTGGTAGTTGTGACTGTCTCTTCACATGGCTGGCAAATTTATGAAAAAGGGCTTAAAATAATTCATGACTACAAAATTTTACCTTCTCTTCTCCTTAAAGTGAATTTTTGGGTTTTATCCCCATACGGGCCACCAAAAAAAAAAAAAAGAGTGAATTTTCACACATTTCATATCTCTCTGGGTTATTCAAATTAAGAGTGGGCTTTTGTTTAATATAGAACATTCTAAGGCTCTTTGTTTTTGCCTGATGGAGACTACCATTCATATAGAATACAATAGTACATAGATGGATGCTAAGATACTGATACTTAAAGGTTTGCCTTTACAATATATTTTATCATTTGTTCTGCTTAAGATGCTATGAAAATTAGTTGCCTATCTCATAGATAATATCTGTAGGTAGCTGGAGAGGGTACTCCAAATATGGATTGTAGGAAGGCAACCCAAATTAATTGAAGAATTGCTTATTCTTTAGCCACAGAGACTTAACTGTTAAATGCATGTTGATATTCTCCCAGTTCATTTAGTCCCTAGAAGAAAGCCTCATCTTGTGTGTAGCTTTATATAGCCTACTTGCATTAAAAGAAAAAGGTGATTCAGTGGCCATGTATTAACAAGGGGGAGTTATTATCCCAGTGATTGAAAGAAATGAGCTTGATATAGGTGAAGGCCTTTTCCTGTATACATTCTTATTAGGGTCCGGGGCCAGTTTCAGAATGTTTAAAGAAGTTCTTATTTTTATCTGGATATATCATATGTAGAGTGAGTGGGTACATAGGAAGACAAGCTTTTGTTTCATTCTTTGTGTTGCCTGCTTGTATCTCTGCTCTTGTCAGACATCAGGTGGCAACCCAAGACTAAAAGAAAGTGTAACTGCACAAATTGATTAGAACCTATAGAGAAGTAGATTGGGAGGAGAGTATTGTTTTTTGCTTTTCTATTGAAGTCAGATTATCTATCACCATGTTGGTGATACCTCCTACTTCCAAAACAAAGTTAGGACATCGGGCTAACTTTTTCCATAGTGCAATAAAATTAGACTACCCAATGCAATTATGAAATGCTTTCTTTTTCTGCTGGTGCCTTTATATAATTAAATTAATTTCATTGCTGCTTACTATGTTTTCAGTACTCAGTATTGACCTTATCATGAATTGAAATTATTTTGAGCCCTCTGTTTGCTTAGCTTGAATCATATCTTGCTTCTCTTGCATCCTAAAGCAGTTTTCTTGCAAAGCATCAAGGTGGCTCATTCATATTTTTGTTTTTTTCTACTTCTCATATATTTTTTGACATCTTTATTGTGGTTCTCACTGGTGATTCTGAGTCTGTATTTCCTCTGAAATAAGACTTAAAATTCAAATGCGCTTTACACAATTGATGTGTGTATGGATTATGATAAGAGTTGTATGAGCCCCTAATAAAATGATTTAAAAAGAAAGACTTAAAATTAATGACTATTAAATAATGTTAAAAGTGGCCAACCTTTTAACTGTCCAGCCCATGTGGGCATTATCATATAGCCTCTAATAGCTGATTGCAAAGATTGATGTCCCTATTGGTCATGCCTTTCCAATGGAAAGATGAATTATCTAATATTGCTTTAGACTTATGGAAGAATTCCCTACTTAGGCATAGGGCACTCAGGCAACTAATCTCTAATTTGGAGAATTGGACCAACCAACCCACACTGAGATTTGTAAACACAAAAGGAAAAAATCCCAGTGGTTGAAATAAAAGCTGTTAAGCAGAGGAAATATAGTAATTTAACTCATCACTGATTCTATATGGATTTTCTTTTTGTTTCTTTAATATGTTAATTAGTTAGAAGCTTGGACGTATATGGGAAGACAAAAATTTTGGGAAAATTGGTAGTGAACACCTAAACGTTTGGAGCATGTTATTTGATATAGTTGTATAGAGGGCTCTTAACCTTTTGCTTATGAGACTTTAAATTCTATACACTTTGGGATTGTAGACCTGATTTTCCAATGGAAAGATTTTTTTTTTGTTTTTTGCAGTAAATGTCTTTATTCTGTTTCATCTTCAGTGGTTAGCAACCTTCTTTGTCATGGCATATCTTGAAATACATATAAAAATAATATAAAAAATACTTAATCCCTTCTTCCCCAAAGAAATCTTTTATTTCTTTGCAATTTAAAAATATTTTGTTTGCCACACCTATTTTTGTCTTAATCCATAGATCATTTTGTATATTTTCTAGAATAGGATTTTGTTACAGAGCTGAGAAGGACCTACTTGCATATAATACTTCAGTCTACACTGATACTTACTTGGTGTTATGCTGTAAAGCAGTGGTTCTCAAAATGAGGTCAGGCAAGACGCACGAACTAAATGTTTGAACTGTGGTTAATGTATCTGAAAACCTAACAGGATCCATATATTTGCATAGAATAAGGCTGCATGGATTACTTAATAGTTGACTGTGACTTTAACAATTTAATGTGATAATCCTACTTTTGCTATGATGATCAGACATTCTAATTGGCAGTTTATGCATTTCTTCAGTTAGTTTAAAAAAATGCTTCTCTTAAAGTGAAGTTTTTGGTGGTTAAAATTTTGAAAACATGCAGATCCACTGGGAAAGGAAAGGGGATCTTTGATGATGAAAATGTTGCAAACCACTGCTGTATGGCCTGTTGATGTCCTTTATTTTCTCTGAAAAAGTAATGATAATGAATTCAGCATCCAACAAAATACTTCCCGCTTGCTTTTTGTGTGTGTGTGTGTGTGTGTGTGTGTGTGTGTGTGTGTGTGTGTGAAGGAAAACGAGCTGATAAACCTATTGCCTATTTTCACTCTTGCTAATTTTACTGCAAAGGGATTTAGTTAACGTTGCACTGGATTAAAATATAAAGATGACTGTTGCTTTTTTTTTTTTTCTAACTCTGAAGGAGAGAAGAAAGTAAGTTGCTACGCATTGCTTTGAAAGACCTGCTCTCAGATCTCCTCAGCCTAAAGATTGTATGTGCCTGTTTTGTTAAATGCTAAGGGTTTTAGCGGCCAGTTAACCTGGATACCCCAATATTCCACACTTTAGGGGGGTAAAGAGCAGAGCAATATTTTTGGTACCATGCATAAGCTTTGAATGTCTGTCTGCTGAAGATCTCAAAAGGGAAGGAGCATCTAAATCTGTTCAGTTGCTTTCTATTTTAATCCATCACTATGGGTGTGACTCAATCCCTTTGTCATTGTCTCCCAATTTGAATCAAATGTAATGCGCTCGAAAGGTAATTTTGTCCCTTTTCTTCTTTCCTCTCTTCTCAGTTATTAAGACTGTTTATTTGTTTCAAGGTGGAAGATTGCTCTGCTGTGAATCGTGCCCAGCTTCCTTCCACCCAGAGTGCCTGAACATAGACATGCCAGAAGGCTGCTGGAACTGTAATGACTGTAAAGCTGGCAAGAAGCTACATTACAAGCAGATTGTGTGGGTCAAATTGGGAAATTACAGGCAAGTTTTTTCAAGGGCAAAGAAATGTTCTATCATAATTCAGACACAGGTTCATAGTATCTATTTAAGTGGTAGTTGACAGAGCCGCACCAAACCACAACACACATGCCAAACCCAGTCTCGAGTCAGTCCCGATGCCTAGCACCCCCAAAGCATAGAGGAGAACTGTCCGCATGGGGGCTCCAAGGCTACAAATCTTGATGAGAGCAGACTGCCACATCCTGCTCTTTCAGAAGCCCTGGTGGGGTGAACTGTTGACCTTTTGGTTGGCAGCTGAATATATTTTAATCATTGTGCCACTAGGGCCCTAGCAACAGAGTTCCTTTTTTTTTTGACAAGAGGTAGGATGGAGGAGGACAAAAGCAGGTCTTAAGTGGGTTTGTGGGTGATTTGGAAGGCTTCGTTGCTGTTGGAATTTGGTTTAGTTGACTTGTGTTTAAGTTCTGAATGTTACTCTTCCATTAATGAAGTAGATACTGCTAGGTTTTAAAATAGAGAGTCTTAATTGGACAGTGTAGACATTTTTTCGTTTGTTTTAATTATATTTACATTGATTACATTATATCCTAGCTAAGACGTTATTTAGTTCTCTTTGCCCTTGAATTGGGTCCATTTTAATTGTAACTAGAAGCCTCCGTGGTCTGTGTAAGAAGAAACAGGATTTAATTAAGAGCCTTTAGTTCTGAAGGGAATGAATTATCTCAATCTGAGGAGCCTACTTTTAATAAGCCTTCTCTGAACAGGTGCATCCATGTATTTAAATAGCTCTCCACTTTGCCTTTTAAGGAATACAATGCTCATAATTTTACTAAGAAAATAGATACTATTAATGATAGCACAATAAAATTTTGCTATTTGATTAGAATCTTACGTAAAATATATTTCCATAGAATTGCAAACATGCTGTCACTTTTTTAGCAAGGGATGTGTTTTCGCTGCTGGCTAAGTAAGAAATGAGCACATGCATTAAATATGCTGCTAGCCTATCAATATAATTTTTTAAAAACTTGACTGGAAGAACATTGAGGTTAAAGACCTTAAAAAGTGACACAAACTCTTAACATCCCTTACACAAAAAAAAAGATTGACAATTTGAGTACACAGCAATTTAAACTGTTTGGCAGAAAATACCATAGAGTTTAAAAAGGCAAATGCCAAACTGGGGTGAAATCAGTGCTCTTCTGTGTTCAGTTAAAAAAAAGACAAGTAACTCACTAGAAAAATGTGAAAAAGCCACTTTGCAGGAGAATAGCAAATAGAAAATGTGGAAAGAACGCTCAGACACATTGAAAAGAAATGCACATTAAAACAGAGACGTTTGGTGCTCGCTTTGGCAGCACATATACTAAAACAGAGACGTTTGTTTTTTTAATGAGCAGATTGGCAGAGATTTGAGAGATTAGTAAATTTTCTCTTGCTGAACGATAGGAAGAGTCCTTCCTAGAGGACAGTCTGGCATCATGTATCAAACTTCCAACTCTGACTAGCCTGTGGCCCATGGATCTGAAGGAAAATGAGTGGACATACAGGCACAACTGTGTATAAGGATTTTATTGGCGTATTACTTACAATTGCAGAAATGTGAAATATATCAAATTTTCAGTCAGTAGAAATTTGGCAAATAAATTATGGTGTATCCATGAATCAGAATTGACATGTCAGCCGGCAACTAACAGCAGCATCTGTGCTGTAGACTACCGTGATGCCAATAAAAGGAGAAGGCAGTTCTGTACAGCAATATATGAAGACATTGTGATAGACACATAATTTAGTTTAAAAGGCCTACTGAGCAAGATCTAATATGTTTCCATGTGGATTTTTTTTCGTTTTCTCTTTATTTAGTGGTTTTCTTTATACAGTATTTACGTATCATACGCTTCCATAGTTAAATCGCTTTTTTTTATTGGTATAGACTTTTTTTTCCATTTTATTGGGGGCTCTTGCAACTCTTATAACAATCTATACATCAATTATATCAAGCATATTTGTACATATGTTGCCATCATTCTTTCCTCAACATTTACCCCAATGTGACCCCTTGATAAATTATAAATTATTATTTTCATATCTTACACTGACCGCTGGCTCCCTTCCCCCATGGTTTCTGTTTGTTCATCCCCCTGGCAGGGGGGAGGGGTGCCGTTATGTGTCCATCATTGTGATCAGTTATTCCATGTGTTTATACAACAGCAACAATGTAGATATAAATAAGAATGTTTTTCATACACAGAAAGAACTATGTCCATGCTTACTTACTAGTCTGAGGAATGAGATTATAAATGAAGACATTTTTTGCATTTTCTAGTATACATTTCTGCCATATTTTAATTTTTAAAAGAAGTACTTATTGCTTAATTTAAAACACATCCCTTTCTAGAGAAGGGAAGGTATTCAGAGTTGAACATTTAATAAATAAGACATCCCTGAGCAAGAAATCCCTAAGGAAAGTATTGGAAGCCTTTAGACCTTTACATGTATTTCAGAATATTTCTTTTAAGGGACAAAAGTTGAGTATGAAAATATACCTGGTTCAATTAATTTTAATACTTAAGTTTTAATCACATTGAATTTAAAGAAGACGAAACCAGTATTCCAGTTTAGGTCACATTGAGAATTTTTGTCTAGGTCAGAGTCTCCTTGTATGTTTTATAAAGACTTCCATCCATGAATTAATTCTTAATGTATTTCTTTCCAGTTGGCCCAATTGGGCCACATGAAGTTGTTTGTTTTCAATAGCTAGTTAATCTCTGATGTGAAGCTTCCTGGGAGAAAATATGAAAACCTGGAACAACCCCTAGGAGAAAATGCACTTCATCCTAACTGACCCCAGTGAGTGCAGTAATCATGGACACATTCTATACTTTAAAGTGGCCTTAGAAATATACACGGTAACACTTTCCTAGCCTTTTTTTTTTTTTTTTTTAGGGAAACCCAAGTACAAACTGAAAACATGAAATATTTTCTTTTAACAATTTGAGCTTGGACTCGTAGTTATGATTTTAATTGATTCCTCAGCACAGAGCTGGGTACCTTTCAGATGAAGCTTATTAAAATTCACTGTAATTCTGGGCGTGCAGCCACGGCATTGTTTATTTTCTAAATAATACAATGTTTGTTAAACACATGTTGGGCATATACAAATAAGAGTCTACAAAAATGTAAGTTCCGTGTATTTACTGTTCATATTAACAATATCATACTGCAAAAGGCTCTGTAGTATGCATTTTTCCCGCTAAGCAATCATCGAGCAACTTGCTCTGAGTTAGTGCATCCAGTGATGCCACCTGGGAAGGTTCTCTCTGGTCACAGTGAATTTTTTTCATGAAAACAGTTTAGCTCTAACTTTTTTTTTTTTTTATGGCTAATCACCAAGGTTGGCTTCCTTCTGCCTCCGCGTCCGACTTGCCTAATAGCTGGAAATAATCAAGTGCTATGTATAGGTGGCTTCAGTTAGTGACGGCTGGGATATTCATCATAGCATGAAACAATTATGTTTTTCACTCTGTGGTCCCATGTTTATTATGATTTAATATGTATTAAATTCAGAAATACACACTGCTGTAAAACGTGAAACATTTGTCCAAAAAGTATTGGCCCTGGTTGGTTAGAGATGCAGAAAATACTCATTTGAACAGGAGTGTCATTCTTTACTGTAACATCAGATAATTCCCAAAATTATTCTCTTGAGTACTGAAAATTAACTTTTACCTTGAAGGAGATAATCTTTATACCTAAATATGAGGTAGAAATATACTGGGCAGAGCAGAGCCTTCGTAGTATGCATTTTTCCTGCTCGGCAATCATCGAGCAACTCGCTCTGAGTTAGTGGATCCAGTGGTGCCACCTGGGAAGGTTCTCTCTGGTCACAGTGAATTTTTTTCATGAAAACAGTTTAGCTCTAACTTATTATTATTTTTTTTTATGGCTAATTTAAGAGAACAGTGTGCAGCTATGAAATTTAGTTTCCTGCTCAGGAAAAATGCCGCAGAAACTGTTGTGATGTTGAACACAGCTTACTAGGACAGCTCTATGGGAAAACCTCAATTGTACGAGTGGTTTCCTCACTTCAAAAAAGGTGAAATGTTGATCGATGACAAACCTCATTCTGGAAGTCTGTCAACTTCTCCAAAGGACGAAAATGTCAACTTAGTGCATTTGTAATTTGTTCCACCCAGTCAGACTGTTAATCAAGCTTTCTATTTAGAGATTCTGAAAAGACTGCATAACAGTGCAACAAACGGTCTGATTTGTGGCAGACCAGGGGACTGGTTTTGCCACCACAACAATCAACCTGCTCACGCAGCCATCTCAGTGCTCCAGTTTTTGGTATAAAACATCATGCCTCTCTTGCTCTATCCTCCTGACTCACCTGACCTTGCTGCATACGACTTCTTTCTGTTTCTGTGAATGAAAAGGGACATGAAAGGACAGTGACTTGACGAAGTAGAAGAGGTGAAGAAAAAACTAGGAAGGTGCTGTCAGCCATCCAAACAGATGAGTTTGAAAAATGTTTCCAAGAATGGAATTGCAGATTTGACAAATGTATTAAGTGTAATAGTGAGTACTTTGAGGGCGATAAGTTTGTTTTGTTAAAAAAAAAAAAATTTAACGGCTTTGAAAAAAATACTTTTTTTTTCCCTTTGGGTCCTCCTTGTATTTCGAGCCTGGAGAGAAACATAACTTTTCTAAAATTACAGTTGGGGGGGAAAAAATTACAGTTGGGTTTGGAATAGTATTGGTGATGTTTAACTTGGAAGTTGGGTAGTAGGTTCAGTGTTATTTTTCATTTTGCTTTATAACTTATAACCTTATATTTATAACTAGACACCCAGGGACTTCTAAAAGTGAAAATGATAACTAAAAGTTAATGGGATTTTTCCATGAGCTTTTAAAAGCCCCTTTTAAAGTACAAAATATAAAATACTTTTTTTAACTGGAATGGATGTTAAGGCCTAGTTTGGTTGATTTGTGCTCGCTGTTTTATTAAGTTTTGAAGTAGTGTATGGTTTAGGCAGGATTAGAACTGAAATGAAATTTGTGACGTATAAGCCTCTCTTTTCCTTCTTCCAACCTTGTAAAGAATTGTATGGGTTTTTTTGTCCTTTTTGTCTAAAATTGCTTTTATTTTCAGATGGTGGCCAGCAGAGATCTGCAACCCCAAGTCTGTGCCACAGAACATCCAGGGCCTTAAACATGACCTAGGGGACTTCCCTGTGTTCTTCTTTGGTTCTCATGATTACTACTGGGTCCACCAGGGGAGAGTCTTCCCTTATGTGGAAGGAGATAAAAGTTTTGCCGAGGGACAGACTAGTATTAACAAGACATTCAAAAAAGGTAAATTGGATGATGTTTCTAGTGACTCAAAAATAAGACCCCAGTGTGTTTTTTTTGTGTTTTTTTAAATCATTTACACGAGTCTGAATCAGTTCTATAGCAGTGAGGTCAGGTTGTTTTTGCTTTCGTTTAGTTTGTTTTTTCTTTACTTGCATATGACGTATTTCTGGTGTTAGAGTATTTCACAAAACACTGTGATTCAGCATCTGTACGCTTCCAATCACATTGGACCTAGGTTTAAAAATATATTTCAGTACAGTAAGAAATGCTGTGTGTGAGAGCGTTTTCTTCAGTTGTGTTTTGACAATTATTCTGGGCAAAGTCTTCATCAGGTGAAGCTCCTTTGCCACAAAAGTATAGTGGAGCTCCCCACAAGGCTTTTGCAGTGAGTTGTGTTGGCTTTATGGTAAGAGTAAAGTGATTTTAAATCTAGTACACCGTTTAAAGAAGAAAAGAGAAAAACAAAAACACAGAGTCACTTGTCAGTTTCTTCTGACCATTGAAATAGAGCTTTTCCTCTTAGGCAGCAGCTCACAGGGAGTAGTGTTCAGTCATGAAAGCGTTCTAGCTGTCAGTTACCTGAGCTGCTAATAAGTGGTGGTGACCAGAATATAGGTAGTTTTAAAAAGAAAGTCTCAGGCCAGATGGAGTGGGGTATACTATAATGCTACTCTCTTAACGGTTTTTGTTGTTTGTCTTGCTTTTGTATTTGTGTGCTTTGCGTGGTCTTCTCGGTAGCACTGGAAGAAGCGGCAAAACGTTTCCAGGAATTGAAAGCACAAAGAGAAAGTAAAGAAGCACTTGAAATGGAAAAAAATTCAAGAAAACCCCCTCCTTACAAACACATCAAAGTAAGTCTTTTCCTATGAAAACATTGGTATTTGACATGTATGATGAAATGCCTCCCTTCCTTATTTAGAAGGCCCTTTGTGACTTTTGAGCACTCTTGCGTTTAGTGCCCAGTATAGCAAACAGAGAGCTTTCGTTGGATGGCTCACTGCTGTGCTCACAGGCCCTCTCAGACCTAATAGAAAGATGAGGCTTTCAACCCCGTAAAGAATTCGTCTTAGAAACCCACAGGGGCAAGTTCTACTCTGTCCCATAGGGTCGCTGTGAGTCAGAATCAAATCAATGGCTGAGTTTGGAGCCTGCTTTTTCCCTCATGTCTGATGTGCATTCCTGTTCCCCTACCAGGTCATCCTGGTAGATGATTATAAGTATTTAAGCCCCCCACTTCCAGAGAACCCACAGGAAGCACATTGTGTGTTGTTTTAATTATGAAATTTCCATCAAGGTGGAAGGAGAGTACATGGGATAGACAAATGAGAATTCACATTAGAGTTTGATGGTTTTGTCAACTAAGGAGAAGGAGTTATCATTCCTATATTATTCGTGAGAAAATGACAAGAGTGAGCCTTTATCCCAGACAGTGTTTTTGCACGGGTGTTTTTGCTGTTCTGTTCAAATTGCTATTAGATTATGTCCTTATCTGCTACTGCCCTCTCATTTGTGATTTTGTTTTCTAGGCTAACAAAGTTATAGGAAAGGTACAGATCCAGGTTGCTGACCTGTCAGAGATTCCCCGCTGTACCTGCAAGCCAGCTGACGAAAACCCTTGTGGCTTGGAATCTGAGTGCCTGAACCGAATGCTACAGTATGAGTGCCACCCCCAAGTGTGCCCTGCTGGAGAGCGCTGCCAGAACCAGTGCTTCACAAAGAGGCTCTACCCTGACTCGGAAATCATCAAAACAGAGCGAAGAGGCTGGGGCCTCAGGACCAAAAGGAGCATTAAGAAGGTAGCATTTGCAGGGAGGTGGGAGGGCCGGCACAGGAAAATGGAATAGACCAGGATCTATGCCTCTTAAACCTCACTGCCATCCAGGCAATGCTGACTTATAGCAACTCCCTGTGGGTTTCCAAAGCTGTAACTGTTTAGGGGGAAATAGCTCAGTTTTTCTCCCTTGGAGCTGCTGCTGGGTTTAAACTGCTGACCATGAGAATCACAGCCTAACATGTAACCACTGCACTACCCAAACTTCTAGGGATGCTTCAGTAGGGTCTAAATTCAAATATATGGGGAATTTTTTTTTTTTTTGAACTTCCCCTGTTGAGAATTTAACACTCCTTGAATAAAGTAGAAGAGGTGGGAAAATGACAAAATAAAAAGTACGTGAACTTTCAATGTCCTATGATAGTTCATAAAACGGAGAAAGGGCATTGGTCTGGCTCTATTTTCAAACTTTTTACAAGTTACAGGAAACAGATGAAAATGTTTTAGTAAAGGCAAAATAGTAAAGTTAGCCATGAAGCCAAGGCAGTGGACATGCCATTCAAAGGTTGTACATTTCAACTTAGGTTACATTTGGGGAGCGATCAGGTGTGGAACACTTACAGGTTGTATTCATTTTTACTTTGAGCAGTTTGTTTATCTCAAAAGATACATGTTCATTATAGAGAAAAATTTAAATGCAAGGAATTCAAAGAGAAATAAAAATAGCCATTACATCCTATTGAGACAGTGTCTGTCAAGCATTTGAGGTTATGAGATGCTCCTGTGGCTCTTGTGAGAAACAGTGACTAAATCAAACTAGCTGGGATGGGCCTAGCATCTGTATTTAAAACAAGGATCAGCCCAGTCCCACTCCTACCTGCCTGGTGCCATCTCCTACCCAGAACTGAAAGCTGTATTCACGGAGAGAATATGAACCTAGTGAGAATTTGAATGACTTGACATTTCCTTGTCTTTTATAAAATTACCTTTGTAATTAAGAAATAGCATCGAATGTAGTGAAGAACAGTTCAAATAATACAAAAAGATAGTAAAGGATGAAATTTCTCCTTTTCTTCAATTCCTGGTTTCCTCACTAAAGATAATCATTGTTAATAGTTTGGTATATAGCCTTTAAGAACATATTCTGTGCAGCTTTAAATAAAAATATGTATTCATATTTTACCCCTCCCATTTAATATATCATTAATCTGTTTCTATGACAATACACACAGATTTCACCTAATTCTTCTTGACAGTCTCCATATATTCCATACTAAGCTATATTGTAGTTTACTTTGGTGCTCCTCTGAAAATGGAGGTGTACACACACATTCAAACAGTTTTTTCATTTCTATATTGAAAATTCTTGGTTATATTTCTGTGTGCATCTGTATCTGTTTGTTAACCTAACCAACTCATTGCCATCAAATCAATTACAACTAATAACGATGTTCATTCGGTACATAGTTATTAGTAAGTTTCTTCTGAATGCCAGGTACTATTCTAGGCACTTGGGAAAAACAATAAGACTTAGGATCATGTAAACAGATACATAATGTTAAATAGTAAAAAATGCCACAGAGGAAAATGAAACTGTAAAAAGCTGGTGACAGGGTTTATTATTTTAAATGGGTTGGTCTAGAAGGAAGTGATAATTAATTCGAATGTGTGAGAGTATCTATAAATACATAGAGCAGAATGTTACAGATTAAAAGAAAAGCAAGAGAGGGTTCTTAGTGTGCAGTAGGAACAGTAAGAAATCCAGTTCACCTAGAGAGAGTGGTAGGTAGGAGATGAGATGATGGGGGCGACCATGGCATGGGAAGACAGTCATGTGAGTGGTTGACCTGATGTGCTGTATTTTCTAATGCTGTATAACAGTGGATCACAAGTGTGGCAGCTTTAAAAGGACACATGTTTTATTTTCTCACAGTCAGAGGTCCAGGCAAGACTTCACTGTGTGCTTGGCTCAGTGTCTCACAGGTTTCAATCACGCTGTTGAACAGGACTGGGTTCTTGCATAATTGTTAGCAGAATTTTTTTTTTTTCCTTTTGGCTGTTTACCAGAAACAGCTCTCAGCTTCTAGAAAACACCCATAGTTACTTGCTGCATGGAGTTTCCCAACATGACCACCAGCACAATAGATACTGATGTCTTATAGCCAAATCATATCATATACACCTTTTACCTTTGCCATATCTGTTGGCCCCACTTACACACCAGAGGAGCAGTCACACAATGGCAAGGATGTTGAGGCCTCTTGGCCACACTTGGATCGCACCTGTATGACTTTGGCTGTGATATGGAGAATATATGATACACGGGGGAAAAAAAGGGATAAAGATACCATGAGCGTAGTCCCGAGAGATGGTGGTGGTTTGGATGAGAGCTGTAGAGAGCAGGAGAGAAATAGTTGGATTTGTGATATTTTGAAGTGAGAGCTGGTGAATTGGATATGTGGAATGGGTTGCCTGGTCTAAGACTCTCTACATTTTAAATGTTATATTTTATATATATATATATATAGATATATATAGTTTTTTAATGTTTAACTTAAGGTGTCATAATTGTCACACAAATTCTTGCCTGTGATCCTTTGGGGGAATAGATAGCTGTATGGGACCATCTTAAAACCCACCCATGTTAATTTTACATTAAAAAAAAAGCCAAAAGCCAGCTCCGCTGCCATCAAGTTGATTCCAACTTACAGTGACACTGGAAGACAGGGTAGAAACTACTGCGCAGAGATGGAGACTGTAAATCTTTATTAAAGCCGATCACTGAGTCTTGGTGGGTTTGAACTGCTGGCTTTTTAGTTAGCAGCTTATTATGTTAACATGGTTTAATAATAGTTGTGTTTATTGTGAAATGTAGTCTAAAATAATTTATTAAGTTACTATAATCAAAAGAAAAAGAAAATACAACCTGGATTATCCTGCCCTGCCCCAGAATCATTCCTCCAGTGAAATGTTATTTAAATCCCAATATGGGAGGAAGATGAAATAAAGCTAATTTGTGATATTCTGCTCCGTGTTGTTGCTGTGTGCTGTGGCATCAATTCCTACTCTAGGCAAAGTGGAACTATCCCGCAGGGTTTCCCAGGCTGCACAGTCTTTATGGGAGCACTATTTTCTCCCACAGAGCAGCTGGTAGGTCAGTTTTTGGCTTTTGGTTAACACTGAGCACGTAACCATTGTGCCACCGAGGCTCCTTCTTTGCTCTGAGAACCAAAAAGCCAAACCCACTGCCACAAGCCCATTCCAATTCCCAGCAACCCCACGCAGGATTTCCCAAACTGTGCAGCCTGACTGCAGCCGACAGCCCAGCCGCAACTTTTACCCACAGAGCAGCTGGTAGGGTTGATCCACAGACATTGCAGTCAGTTGCCTGCTTATTGAACCACAGCAACCCCAAAGCTCCTGTCCCTGCTCTGTAGGTTTCCATTCAAGAACATGTGCCTTCATTCACTTAGTTAAGTAATAGTAACACGATGTGGCAGTGCACACTTGAGCAATGACACCATATAAGAATAGAAAGTCTTGATCATCAGGCGATGTCTGGAAAGCCATTTAAGACTGACAGTGCATAATACAGGAATGTGAAGAGCTGTCTGTCTGGTGTCCTTTTGAGAAAGGACCAAAAGATAAATTCTTTTCTTAGCCATATTCTTTGTCGTGATAGGACCTTGTGTAATAAATACAAATGGGAAGAGAGAGAGAGAAGAGGAGGTTATCTTTAAGAGCATTGGCAATGAATGTCCTTAATGATTTACTGAATGAGAACTATAATAGTGTTTCTGATATTTAGAGTTACTGATATTTATTACCAATAGAAGGGCTAGTGAAAATTTATGTGGAAGGAGACTGGAAGTTTTGAAAAATGTATTTGTATCTTATGACAACTTCCTCAAAAAAATAAAAAGCAGATTTATCATCTTAAAAACAACATTTCCTCTTAGGTGTAATCACTCAAGAACTCACTGTCCTCCGGGCATTTCTGACTCATAGTGACCCTGTAAGACAAAGTAGGCCATCCCCATGTGTTTCCGAGGCTGTGAATCTCTCTGGGACTAGATAGCCCCATCTTTCTCTCCTGAGAGCCTGTCGGTGGGTTCAAACTGCTGACCTGTGATTAACAGCTCAGTGCGTAACCACTACATCAGTACTAGTATACAAAAGTATATTCTTATGTCTGATAAGTCCTATAGATAATGTTGTCCTAAACGGAATCAACTGTTTTGAAGTGAAAAGGTTAATGTTTATGATTGTATAATCACTGTACAACGCAGTAATCACACTCATGACCGTTTATCTCAGATAAAGGAAAATTTATGTCCACAGAAAAATGTCTGCATGAGTGCTTTCCTAGCAGCTTTATTTGTCCACTGAAATCTGGAAACTGCCAGCCTCCCCCCTCCCCCTCCAAGTCCTTCAGTAGGTCAATGGTTAAACTTGTACATCTATACTGTAGGATACTATCCAATAACGAACTACTGATACACACAACTTGGATAGATCTCAAAGAATTCTGCAGAGATTTTTGTTGTTTTTTTTAAGTGCCAATTTCAAGGATTAAGTACTATGATTCCATTTATAAATTCTATAACGACTGATTCTGTTACGATGGGAGAGCAGAGTGAGTAGTGGATGCCAGGACGTGGGGATGGGAGAGGGTTGGTGAAGATGGGTGTGAAGGTCAAGGAGCAGCTCAGAGCATCTCCGTGTCTATTGGTGGTAGGTTTCACAAAGCTATACATAATGCAATTGCTTAGAAATACACGCACATACATTCTGACACACATCCGTACGTGTAAAGTTGGTGAGATCTGAATAAGGAGTATACTAATAGCTGTTTCTAGGTTCTTTTTTTAAAAAATTATTTTATTGGGAGCTCGTACAATTCTTATCACAGTCCATACATACATACATACATACATACATTTTGTCAAGCACATATGTACATTTGTTGCCCTCATCGTTCTCAAAACATTTGCCTTCTACTTTAGCCCTTAATATCAGTTGCTCATTTTCCCCCTCCCTCCCTACTCCCCCCTCCCTTATGAACCCTTCATAATTCATAAATTATTATAGTTTTGTCATAAGTTACACTGTCCGACGTCTCCCTCCTCCCTCTTCTCTGCTGTCCATCCCCCAGGGAGGAGGCTATACTTAGATTCTTGTAATTGGTTCCCCCTTCTACCCCACATTTCCTTCACCCTCCAGGCATCGCCCCTGTCACCACTGGTCCTGAAGGAGTCATCTGTCCTGGATTCCCTGTGTTTCAAGTTGCTATTTATACAATGTACATCCTCTGGTCTAGCCAGATTTGCAAGGCAGAATTGGGATCATGATAGTGGAGGGGAGAAAGCATTCAAGAACTAGAGGAAATGTATATGTTTCATCGTTGCTACTCTGCACCCTGATTGGCTCGTCTCCTCCCCACAACCCCTCAGTAGTTGCCTACTGATGGACTCTGAGTCTCTACTCTGCACTCACCCACCTTTGTAATGACATGATTTTTTGTTCCTTGATGCCTGACACCCAGTCCCTTCGACGGCTCGTGGTCACTCATGCTGGTGTGCTTCTTCCATGTGGGCTTTGATACCGCTTGTTTATCTTCAAGCCTTTAAGACCCTAGACACTATATCTTTTGATAGCCAGGCACCATTAGCTCTCTTCACCACATTTGCTTATGCACACGTTTGTTTTCAGTGATTGTGTCAGTAAAGCGGGCACCCACTGATATGATTTTCAGTTCTTTGATGTCTGATAACTGATCCTTCTACACCTCATGGTCAGACAGGCCGGTATGCTTCTTCCATATGGGCTTTGATGCTTCTCAGCTAGATGGCCGCTTGTTTGTCTTCAAGCCTTTAAGACCCCGAACGCTATATCTTTTGATAGTTGGGCACCGTCGGCTTTCTTCACCACCTTTGCTTATGTTCCCATTTTTCTCCAGCAATCGATTCCCAGGTTCTTATATTGTACTGTAGCCATGTGAGAGGTTGCCATTGTGGGGAACTATGTGAAGACTAACATGGAACTTCTTCTCTGTACTGTTTGCAATTTTCTATAATATCAATAGATATTTGAAAATAAAATACAATTTGTTGCGGATTCAGATTATTTTTTAGGTCTGCTAACTATGTTATAGTACAGCTGGATTTAACAGCCCTGGTGACATAATTTTTTGGGTGTACTGTTAACCTCAAGGTCAGTAGTTTGAAACCACCAGCCACTCCAAGGGAGACAGATGAGATTTTCTACTTCTGTAAACAGCCAGTCTTAGAAACAAACGGGCAGTTGTACCCTGCCCTATGGAGTCACTATTGACTTAAGTCAGCATTGACTCGATGGCAGTGGGTTTGCATGTTTGTTTCTAGTTCACGCTGGATGTAGTCTTGCCCAGAACCTAGTGATACTTCACTATAGCACCACTTGGAAATCCTGTAAGTAGCACTGTCAGCAAGAACAGACAAGCATATTGTCATCTTTTGTTGACCTTGCACAAGAAAAACAGTGCCACTTGCATGCTTGTGAATAACAAAAGCATGGTAAGGTTGGAAATTACCACATGATTCTTTTTTGTTAACTGGACTATTCCTGTGTTAAGGAATGCTTTGCCATCGGATGCATTGATTTTACATTTATATGTCGTATGTCTCTGCAGGGTGAATTTGTGAATGAATATGTTGGCGAATTAATTGATGAAGAAGAGTGCAGATTGCGAATTAAGCGAGCCCACGAGAACAGTGTCACTAATTTTTATATGTTAACTGTTACCAAGGTGAGATCACTTTTAACACGCTCGTTCTTTTTTGTAAGACAAAGGAATGTACATAGCTATTATAAAAAATTGTTTTATGGTATTAGATTGGGGTCGATTTCTTCTAGTTTTTTTTTTTTTTTTATCACCAAGCAAATTGTCATTGTTTGCGGTACCCAAGTTTTGTTGTAGCAAAATTCTAAATTGTTCTGTATGCTTAAGCTGTTTTTGAATGAATTAGGAAAATAATAAATGCTGTCACAAGAAAAATGACAATGAAATAATTTAGCAGTCCTCAGGTTACAAATGAGAGTCATGATTGAGTGTGAACTTGAGAATTTGTAGTTAAGTTGGAACAGGTGCTAATTAGCTTTGGGCTGCTAACTGCAAGGTCAAGGCTTCAAACCCACAAGCCACAAGCCACTCAGCCAGAGAAAGATGAGGCTGTTCGATCCCATAAAGATTTGCAGTCTTGGGAACCAACAGATTTACCCTTCTCTAAAGGGGTGACTCAGTGGTTTAGTACAAGAGGTGCAAGGCTTTTCAATGATGTAAAGTTGCCTGTGGCAGGTAAAGGTGATTATGAGTAAGGATTGCTTCAGGAGTTGCAAAGTGAGGGCAAATTTACATAATATTAAAAGGGGGTGGCAGGGTGAGTTACATCATGAGCTGGTCACACAAGGTCAGCAGTTCGAAATCACCAGCAGCTCGGTGGGAAAAAGATGGAAAGATGAGGCTTTCTACTTCCATAAGCAGCTATGATCTTGGAATCCCACGGGGGCAATTCTACTCTGTCCTGTAGGGTTGCCGGGAGCCAGAACCGACTCCCTTGGGGTTTTTTTTTTGCACAGGACAGTCCAGGGATTGCCAAAACTATAAAAATAATATCAATAATGAAGAGCCAGGACTAAGTCTCTTGTTCCAGGCTTTCTCTAAAACTGAGAGTCCAAATAATTTTAAAAATGAGAAACAGAGTGGCCTTATGTTTTATTACTTGAAAGTTTTACAACTTTGACTTTATAAACAGAAGTTTAAGATGCCATGACTGATGACTGCTGGCCTGTGTCAGGGTGCAGAGGCCCCTGGAGGCATATCTAGATACGATAGTCTGGAGGTGCTAGCCTCTGAAGTTTGTCTAGATTATAGGGAGTTCAAACTAGGGGTCTCAAATGTGCAGTGTTTTTACTGTATTTTGAACGTCAGTGTAAGTGAAAACGGAGCAAGTAGATGAATGCTGCAGAGCAAATCCCACAGGGTCACCTTTTCACTAACCACATCTATGAGTTTTCTTTTGGTGGCAGTCATGGGGGCAGGTGGCTCTCATTTTGCCTTCTTTCTGCTCTGTGGCCAAAATTCCCACCTATCTACCCCACACTAGTGTTGCTTCCTGTTCCGGAGCTGAGAGGAAGGCTAACAGCAACAAAGCATCCATTACAAGTAGTTATCTAAAACCTGGAACTGTCTCATTAGAAAATGCCCTTCCTATACCTGCTGCAGGCTAATTTTTTTAAGAAGGTGAGTTTTGCGGTCTGTTTCTCAAAGGAACGTAAAAAGAAAAAATGTCTTCGATTTAGAGGCCGTCCGGTAAAGAGCGCAGTAAATGACAGGGAGCACCACATTCTCAGAGTTGTCGATTGTCAGTTACTGCCTGTGACCATCGGCCAAGTCTGCTGTTTTATGTCAAAGTTATCTTTCTTCCTGCAGGACCGTATAATTGATGCTGGCCCCAAAGGCAATTATTCTCGCTTTATGAACCACAGTTGTAACCCAAACTGTGAGACCCAGAAGTGGACCGTGAATGGAGACGTTCGAGTTGGACTCTTTGCTCTCTGTGATATCCCAGCAGGTAAGGTTGTAACCTGCTCGTTGTCCCCCCATCCATAGGAAAAAAGATGTCCTTTGAAGCCAGGGTATTGTTCTGAAACACAATGTATTTATTCAAATACAATGCAAAGTTTAGTATTCATTGAATGTTGCACAAAAAGAGGTAACAAATCTGTATCCTACAAATAGAGGAAAGAACTAGGAGGCAAATGGCATTTATAGAGCTCTAAATACAAGCATGTACATATATAAATAAATTTATATATGATGGGGAAATAGATCTATGTGCCTATATTTATAGGTTTAGTATTAAGGTAGCAGATGGACATTGGGACTCCACTCAAGTACTCCCTCAATGCAAGAACACTTTGTTCTATTAAACTGGCATTCCATGATGCTCACTTCCCTACACAATCACTGAAGACAAATGTGTACATAAGCAAATGTGCTGAAGAAAGCTGATGGTGCCCAGCTATCAAAAGATAGAGCGTCTGGGGTCTTAAAGGCTTAACGATAAACAAGCGGCCATCTAGCTCAGAAGCAACAAAGCCCCCATGGAAGAAGCACACCAGCCTGTGTGATCACGAGGTACTGAAGGGATCAGTTATCAGGCATCAAAGAACAAAAGATCATATCATTGTGAATGAGGGGGAGTGCAGATTGGGGACCCAAAACCCATCTGTAGGCAACTGGACATCCCCTTACAGAAGGGTCGTGGGGAGGAGACAAGCCAGTCAGGGTGCAGTGAAGCGATGATGAAATATACAACTTTCTTCTAGTTCCTAAATGCTTCTTCCCCACTTCCTCCCACCCCCACTATCGTGATCCCAATTTTACCTTACATATCTGGCTAGACCAGAGGATATACACTGGTACAGATAGGAAATGGAAATACAGGGAATCCAGGACACATGATCCCTTTAGGACCAGTGCTGAGAGGGGTGGAACCAGGGGGTGATACCAGGAGGGTGGGGTGGAAAGGGGAACCAATTACAAGGATCTACATATAACCTCCCTGGAGGATGGACAATAGAAAAGTGGGTAAAGGGAGACATCAGATAGTGTAAGCTATGACAAAATAATAATGATTTATAAATTACAGAGGATTCATGAGGGAGGGTGAAGCAGGGAGGGAGGGGGGAAAATGAGCTGATACCAAGGGCTCAAGTAGAAAGCAAATGTTTTGAGAATGATGGCAACAAATGTACAAATGTGCTCGACACAATGGATGTATGTATGGATTGTGATAAGAGTTGTATGAACCCCAAATACAATGATTAAATTTTTAAAAAATCTATATCCTACAAAAGAAAGTTTAGCCAGAGTCGTGGAAGAGAGGCTGTGTCTGTCTACAGTCTTGTTGGATTAATCGTCCAAATTACTGCTGTGTAATGTAATCACATGTTTATGTTTAAAGAAAATATTAAAAGTAATTAGCCTGTGTTAACATCAACTAGTTGGTTTTAGTTGTTTTACACACACGGGGTGGGGGGATTCTATTTGTTGTTGTTTACTTTGAAAGATCAGTATGCTTCAAATTAGACATAAAAACCTGAAATTGGTCTATTGCTTCGTTTCCTCTTAACTCATCGAGCATTTTAACAGCCCAAATAAATTTGTCCTTCATTGAGTTTATAGAATGTGAAGGGAATGTATAGTTAAAACGGATTTAAAGTAGGCTTCTAAAAGTGACTGTGGGTTGTTGTTGCCTAGCTAAAAGAGAGCTGAGGAGGAGGCCTTAGTGGGTCTTTAGAACATGTGATAAACCTCCATTAAAAGAATCTCCTCCTGCTTGTTCATAATCTAAACTGTTGATAATTGGAAGTTGTATTGTCTTTACAAATGTGAATTGACTTTGGGAACGAGGGCTCACCCAGTGTGAGCAGACTGCTGAGTTTTTGCCCCTCTTACATTATTTTTCACACTTCCAGAAAAGGACATACTTTCTTTTTACAATATTTATTTTCACTGTAATCTTGGGATAACATTAATCCTGCTGGCCTAATGGCTATGATTGGGCTGAAATTCTGAAAGTCAGAAGTCTGAAACCACCCGTTGCTCCGAGGGAGAAAGACGAGGCTTTCTACTCCAGCCCCGTAACGTCGCACAGTTGCAGAAACCCACAGGCAGCTCCATCCAGTCCTGTTAGAGCACTGAGTCAGAACGGACTCCATGATGGTGAAGAATGGTGGGTGGGTGGGTGGGGATATTTTCCTGTGCGCATTTATTTTTCCTGTTTTTCTTTTTTTCCCCATCATTGCTTTCAGTGTGGTGGGACACAGGGAAAGGAAAAGGCTTCCTCATTGAACCTTGTCTGTTGTTTATCGTAAGAGTATGTCTGTGGCAGCATTTCTCTTCCCCATGACCGGAGTTTCAACACTGTGTCTCTTCCATTTTAGGGATGGAGTTAACATTCAATTATAACCTGGACTGTCTGGGCAATGGCCGAACGGAGTGTCATTGCGGGGCAGCTAACTGCAGTGGTTTCCTTGGAGTGCGGCCAAAGGTCAGTCATGCAGAGGCCCAGGCCACCAGGAGAGGGGACGCTTGTTTAGGGAGGGACTTTCTCAGGAACAGACAGGGCTGAGTTAAGTTTTCCAGGCATCAGTGTGTTTTACCAAAATTCAGACCATCTGAATTTCCAGTCAGGAGTCCCTCACTAAAGTCTCTCTGGTTTTGAACATATACAAGGGGGCTTGAAAAAGTTGGTGGGGGAAGTAGAATTAGAAGATAGTGGAATTTTTCCAGAAATATTCGAGATCCCTTCATACATGTACTTAGAATTGAATTAGAAATTAATGACATGCTGTTCAAACTCTTAAAATGCATATACCTACACTGAAAACCACTGAATTGTACATCTTAAAATAGTCACTTTTTTGTGAGTCTGCTTGGGCTCACCAGCATCGTTGCCATTTAAAAACTGGTGCCTGTTCCAAAGCCCTGGAAAACAAAGCCTTAGCTTGAAGATAGTGCTGCTGTGGGATGAGTCGTCCTGACTCTCGGTGGTGATTGAATCGCAGACACATTTAAATGCTGGTAAAGTTGTAAAGCTTTCCTTTCTGTGTATACAACCTTATACACAGCACCTGGCCCTTGAAACTGGTCTTTTTCTCCTGCCAGACAACGTGTGCGTCAACAACTGAAGAGAAGGCAAAAAATGCTAAGTTAAAGCAGAAGAGACGAAAACTCAGGACAGAACCAAAGCCGATGCATGAAGATTACTGTTTTCAATGTGGAGATGGTGGAGAGCTGGTCATGTGTGACAAAAAAGACTGTCCCAAAGCATACCACCTCCTATGCCTTAACCTGACTCAGCCCCCATACGGTGAGTGGGACCCTTTCTCTAAACTTCCTCATTGCCCACTCTGAAGATCACATTCTGCTGGCCTCGGAAGGACTGTGGAACAGGAAGTGCTGAGTAGAATGGGAAATGAAAATTTATGCTAGGGAAAAAGTTGTTTTCTTGCAGATTTAGAACACCGTACAGACCCGCGGGATTGGTTTCCATTCATTATTATGGGTGGGTCATTGGCATGTAGGGTATTGGGTCTCGCTCGGGCAGTAGCTCACGCACTTAATTGTGTTTGGCTGACATTTGGAATTGGGTTCCCTTGACTTCTGGCTCCAGTCCGAGGTGAGCTGAGGTGGGAGCTTGGGTTTCAAAGGCTAATCAAGACAGGCACTCACTGGGATCTTGTCTTTCTTCCTCCTCCCATGCCACCATAGGGAAGTGGGAATGCCCGTGGCATCAGTGTGACGAGTGCAGCAGTGTGGCGGTTTCGTTCTGTGAGTTCTGTCCACGTTCCTTTTGTAAAGATCATGGAAGAGGAGCTCTAGTTCCCTCTGCCCTGGAAGGCCGTCTCTGCTGCTCTGAGCACGACCCCACCGCTCCTGTGTCACCTGAGTACTGGAGCAAGATAAAATGCAAATTGGAACCACGAGATCACAGAGAAGATGTAAAAGAATAAATGAGTGGTGTCCCTCCTTTTTGTTGTTCAAATGGAAGAAAAAGAAAAAGTAAGCAGATCATGCCATTGAAAAAGAAGAGACTGCTCAGTGTAGAGTCCAGACAGCCCTTGCCATCTGGATTGCGTTGTTAGCATGAAAATGGGGGACAGTTCATGCAGGCAGATGCGACTGGTGGTGTCTGACTTGTTTAGTGTCCTCGGTTTGGGGTTCTTTTGTGGAGGGTTCAGCTCTCTCTCTCTCTCTCTCTTGCCCTTTATCATGTGCTTCAATGCCTTTGCAGTCAGAAAAAAAGAAGTCAACATTTAAAGTAAGAAAATAGAGAAAAGAAAATTGTGTTAATGGGATAAGTTTAAAATCTAAGAAATGTTCCTTACATACATATATATGCATGTATATGCATATATATAGCCATTATTCCTCTATTTATTTTCATTTTTAGAGATTTTGAGAAGCATAGTTCAAATGGTCGTGTGTGTGTGTGTGTGTGTGTGTGTGTGTGTGTGTGTGTGTGTGTGTTAGGGTTGGAGAAGACCCTCCTCTAGAAAAGGGTCAGGTGATCTTTATATACCTCCACTGAGCAGTAGGTAGGCTAACTCCTTTTTCCCCTTAAGAATGTTTTTCATAGTCTTAGAGAAGGGCTCTCTGCAAGTATTGAATCTGGCCTCTTAGAAAACAAAATGCCTCAGTGGGTTTTTCCTCTGTGGCCTTAAAATAATGGACTGTGTGATTTAATAACTTTACCTTAAAAGGTCTATAGTGTCGATTTTTGTATGTTTTTTGTTTGGAAGGAAAAAAGAACTGGATGTGCTGTGGGTTTTGAAATGTTTTCCATGAATTGGGTGTTTGATGAATGCACTCATGCGGGTGTGCACCCAGCTAGGGGGCTGTGGTCATTCTCGTTACCCTGATTCACGGATGAAAGCAGCTAAAGGAGATGAAGGGCTCAGGCCAAAAGTGGGGTCAGAGAGCACTGTTTTCTGTCCAGTTTAATGTAGGCCCTGGTCTGACTGATGGGCATTTTATTATCTGTCTGTCTCTGCTTCCTTCTCCTATTCGAACATTCCTTTTTCATCTGACCATTCAATCATGTTTCCTGGTAAAAACTCCGCCAGTGAATTTCTATTATATTTGAATAGCTCTTTTTGGCAGGGCTCCTAGTAGTAGGGGTGAAATGGGTAGGGACATCCCCAACTTGCATGTAAACCGTTTTGATGTAGTATTATCCTATACTTAAATCCCCCATTGAGTGAGGGGAAGCACTTCAACCTCTACAGGGTGTGTACGAGCAACAAAACACTTCATCTTCGCAAGCACTTGGGGAAAGTTCCCAAGAACGTCAGTGTTAGCCCAAGTGCTGGTCAGGAATGCTTGAATCCTTTAGCTGCAAGTATGCTGAGATGTCTGCCCACAAGACTCACTTGCTTTTAGTACATAGGAATACATATATTCCAGTATTCCTTGTATGACATAATTCGTTCAGACAGACATTGTTGTAACACTGTACTAAGTAGAACTCTAGGGTTAGCTTGAATGAGCGTTAACTTTCTCTGTGAATTTTGACTGCTTACAGTTGCTGGTACTTGGTAGCATTTATTTTCCCTCAAGGCCTACAGACCTAGTAACCTTCTGAAGGTGGGTGGTGGGGTGGGTGGATGGTTTTCCTGGGCCTTATTCCTTGTGTGTTTCTTTTTCTTACCAATTTAGAGCTCTTTTTGGGGTGGGGGGAGAGGGGAAGCTGTATTGTGCCTCTATTCTTTTGTTGTATGTAAATGTGCAATTATACTGGGTTCTCTCTTTTTAAAAGCAAAACAAAGCAAAAACACTACAGTTCCTTTACTCAAGCTCCTAAACTGCCATTTGCCTGATTCCAGCAATTAACTCTGAGGTGAATCATTGAGCCTCCTATCATTATCTTAATTAGATATGGCCCCAGAAGGAAGAGCAAAACGGAAAGTGCTATACATGTTACCAAATATAGTAACTACCAGTAACGTGACATACAGCTCACCAAAACACTAATCTTTGCTTTTGAGCAATTATGTTGTTTGTCCTTCTTAAATTAATTTTAAAAGATCAAGGTTTTACCATCCTAAAACTTTATATATATATATATATATGGTCAGTGTTTGCTTTTATAAACTTACTAACATGAAGGGTTTCCTGTGATATTCCAAATAGAAATCCTGTTGAAACAGAGTTCAACAAGAAATCTTGTCGCCTTGCACTGTTTTGGACTTAGCACTCTTTGGGTGGTGAGCCAGGGTCTAGTCTATGTACTGCAGGTACCGTAGGGTTAAGTATATTTATGCAGCCTCCTCGTCGTGTCACATGTCTTTTTCTTGTTTGGTATGTCATTTCAGTAACAGGGTAGTAACAGTCATTGCTCTGAAGTCATCAATGAGGGGAAGGGTCTTTATTGGGCTAAAAAGTCCTTTTAATGATACCAATGCCAAGAAGCTCTCAGCACCCCTCCCTGCTGTGATCTGCCCGGTGTGATTTTAAGTCTCGGGTTCTGGAAGCAGTGGGACCTGGGTGCATTTCTGTGTACACATGTGCTGGGCACTCTGCTCGCTGGGTGACTAAGAAATGCTCCCAAAGCATGTGGCCTCCTCATAGTCTAGGGTTAATATTTGTTAACTTTTAAATCTGTATGTGGTCAGAGCACAAGTGGTTGGTTTTTATTCTTGTCCAAATGTGAAATGAATAAAGCAGCATGGGATCATGTGGGGTTTTTGTGTTTTTTTGTTTTTTTTTTATTCTCCAATTCTTCAGCGGAAGAAATGAAATGTAAGATTGTTGATAATCAGTATGAAATTCCCCAAATTGAATCCGTAACAGCTAACCATGAAGTTGTCCTGAGGGTTTTCCACAGGCCTGGCCAGAAGCAGGACAAGTCATCTGGGGGTGCTGCCCGCTACCGGGGGCGGGCGGGAGAGCGCAGCAGCTGGAGGCAGTGATTCCCTCCGTAACCATCTAGTAGTGCTAGTTAGGAGTCAGGTGAGTTTTATAATCAGTTTTGTTTCAATCAATTCATACTTTATCTTAACTCAAACTTGATTAAGGCCCAAACTGACAGCAAAAGGAGCTCTGGTGGTGCAGTGGTTAAGCACTTGACACGAACCGAAAGGTTGGCAGTTTGTCCCTGGAGTCACTGGTGGGTTCAAAGACCTGGGAGCAGCTTCCATAAAGCTGACACCCTAGAAAACTGCAGAGCAGTGCCCTGCCCCACAGCCTCACTCGTGTCCGTGTGGACACACGATGGCGCTGAGCAGGCTCTAGGCTGAATCTTGGAATCTGAAACGGCGAGTTCTCTGTGATCAAGTCAGGAACCTCATTGAAAACAAAAACAACACAATGAGAGGGGTGGGTTGCTTGGGTCCAGCTTCCGGACAGGGTGGGCCATAAGCAGATGGAGACTCTGCCCTGGGACTCGAAGGGCATGCTGGTCGATGGCTTTCTCCGCTTGCTCATGAACTGGGGTTTCCTGTTTCTGAGTAGTGTCTTGCATGGTCAAACCCCCATCTGCAGTTTGTAAAACAGAGATGCCATCTCGAGAGAATGTAACTCTGGACTGCTGGGGCATTGTTGATAGTCTGTCAAATTGTTTTTAAAAACGGCTCGCTTGCAATTTCTGTAAGAGGTGGGGTGGGGGGGGCGGTTGCTCACATGCAGTGTTTCAAAGGACAAGAAAGTGAGTGGTGACATCATGATGGCTTGGGGAGCTGGCAGCTGGCCTCTAGGAAGTGGGCATATCACTTATCACTGGATGGTGCCCTTCTGGTTTTACACACTTTCTACAAGGCCGTGGCTTCTAGCCATCCCCACACGGCCGATGCTGCTGCAGATACCAAGTGATCAACCGGAACAGCTGTCTTTGGCTGAGGGCCACTGTAATTAGTTGGAAAGTTGTATATACTGAAATCTGACCAGCTTTTATCTGGGGGGTAGGGTACAGAGAGAAAAAGGGTTATATTAGGGCAAGGGAGGGGAATGATGTTTACCACAGGTACGAAGTAGTCACTTTAACATTGAGACCTCTGCCTCATTGAATTCAGGTTTTTTGTGTACTTGAAACTCCTCAGATTCTCATTTTACAGTTTTTCTTTTAAATTTATGAAGTAGAAAGCATTGTTTTGTATATTGTTTTAAAAACAAATCGCAGTCTCATACCCCCCTTAACGGGGGTTTACAGGTGAAGTTCTGCAGGGGGCGGGCCATTCAGAGTAGACTGTGCCAATTTCATGGACACACGTGATGGACACACATGATGGACACACATGATGGCGGGACACCAGCAGCATGTCGTGAATACCTTTTAATCTATGCCCGTGGGGTGGGGGTGGGGGTGGGGGTGGGGGATGGAGTTGCACTTCACAATACACTCCTGAGATGTTGGATGCAACCTGTGGGTTTCACAAACGGTTTCCATCTTTCTGCCAGTCCACTGCTGGAGTGGTAGTACGTTCAGGTGCTTGTGGCACTTAGATGTGGAAGAGGAGGAAGAGAATTACCTTTCAGTAGCCTCTCTACGTCTTTCACTTGCAAGCACACAGGGAAAACAGAAGCTTTGCCAGAGTCACTTTTTCCATCCTTTTTCTTGTGTGGCATCACTGCAGCTGCTGAGTTGCAGGCTCCAGTGCTCCCTCCCTGCCTGCACACCCACCCACAGACATGCTGCCCCTGGGCAAATGGCTCTCCACTGTCTTCCCACTACTGACTGAAGGGATTCGTAAGGAATTCTTATGGGTTTAGAAGTGGGCTGATGAAATGTACTTTGCCTTCCTGGTCATTATCTCATCTGCCCTGTCCCATAACCCTGTTAAAATGGAAATCACATTGCCACTGGTAACCAAGATGCTAACTGGCCATTACAACCAGCTGATATCGTAAGATTGCCTTTTTATATACGAGTGCATATTTGGAGTTAAGAGAAATTCATTTGTATCCACACTGAGTGAGATTGTTCAACACAGATACCTACAATTACCTTTTTCATTTCCTTGTGATCTTTATAATAACCTTTGTAGATTGGTTATTTCTGTACTTTATCTGTAATAAACTTTGTAGATCCTGTGAGATGTTATTTTGCCTAAATCACCTGAGACTTGAGTCTTTCAGAACAAAGCATCAGTATTCACTAAGGTCAATCTTTTTTCGAGTTTCTGTGACTTGGCTAGCAGCTCTGGACACTAACAGTTGGTGTTACTTTTCCCTGGGCGGGGCGACCCAAATAGGGCATTACTGTATAATGACTTGATGTTGCCACCTAGACTTCAAGATATATGATATGTTGGGGGTTTTGTTGATTGGCCTTTGTTTTATTGCATAGTGTGAAATGTGTAAAGTTTGGTTAAATCTGTACATAAACAATTTGTCAACTAGTTACAGTATTTTTAGGATTGCCTGTAATATTTAAGCTTCTTACTGATGTGTGTGCTGGTAGGAACATATAATTTTTGTACATTATATTTACTGAGATATGTTGCCTTTTTTATTTTACAAATACTTTGGAACTCAGATGTGTTTTCTGCTTCCGTGAGGATTAATTTGGAAAGATTTTTAATGACATTCCACTGATTTCAGACTTTGCTTGAGATTGACTTCAATAAATTGTCCTGTATGTTCCAAATGAAATATGTGGGCTTGTTTTTGTTGCTGCAATTCACTGGGCAGACCACGGTAAGGGGGAGGGCCGGGCGGCGGGATGACTCAGTGAGGCTAGTATGCCCTCCTTCAGAATCCTGCCCCTGACTCAGAAGAAAGGGACCCCCACGAGCGGGGGTCGGCTTGGTCTTGCTCCCGGAGGCAAGCCTGCCGACGGCGCCCGCTGCGTGCGTGCTGCGGCGCAGAAGGCAGAGCCCGGGGCGCCGCCGCCGAACTCGTCGCTTTCGTCCGACCGGGAGTTCGCGCTCAGTGGTTGGTTGCGGGGCCTGGGAGCTAGTTCCCTGAGGAACCGTGATGGCGTTTGTCCTCAGAACAAAGGCCAACGCCCTGCTTCCTGGAAGCCATTGCCCAGCTGACCTGCTGGGGCGCGCCGGCGGAAGGACGCCTTTCCCGCGGGACCGCCCCCTCCGGGCACGTCAGCACGGCGGCCGCGGACCGAGCCCGATGGGGAAGGCGGCGGCTTTGGGGGCTGAAGTGGGCGTGCGAGTCGCACTGTTTGCGGCCTTCCTGTGAGTGATTTGCAGATGGGACCCAAGGGCGCCCCTGCCCGCGGGCTAACGGGCGCGTGTTCGCTTCCCCTTCAGGTGGACCGAGCTGCTCGCTCCCTTCCACAGGCTTATCCAGCCCGAGGAGATGTGGCTGTACCGGAACCCGTATGTGGAAGCCGAGTATTTCCCCACCAAGCCCATGTTTGTGCGTGCAGTATCCCTTCTGGTCCTCGCGGTGCGCTCTGCGATGGAGGGCAGCGTGGGCGTCCCGGCTCCAAGAGGATCTTTGTGGGGAACACATTGCGCCCGTTCTTGCTTCCTGAACTGTTTAAGATCCTAGTGCCCAAACGTTTACGGTCTCCATTCCGAGAGCGAGCTGGCGGCTTGCGAGGGGGCGGGCTTAGCTGAGCCCTGCTCCCTAAGGGCGGCCTGATGAGCCTGGTGGGGGTGTGAGCAGTGGGTGGGACCCTCGACCCGATGCCTCCCCCTTCCACGGCCGGCCGCACTGCCAGTGCTGCCTTGGGAGTTGGCCTGGGTCACCTCTGCCCTTTCCCTCTAAGAGCCATGTTAACCATTCCTTTCACCGTTGACCTTCTCGTTCAGGTCATCGCGTTTCTCTCTCCTCTGTCCTTGATCCTCCTGGCCAAGTGTCTCAAAAAGGCAGACACAACCGACAGCAAACAGGCCTGCCTGGGTAAGACCTGGTGTTCCTTTACCTCTTCGTTGAAGGCTGCAATCCTCAAGTACTTCGGAAGGCGGGGTTGGGGGTGTCGGTGGTAGAATTCTCAACTTCCCCGCCACAACCCGGGGCTCAGCCCCCACCCTGGTCAGTAGAGCTTCCCTGCTCCTGTGAACGGGTTTCAGCAGAGGCTTGGAAGAGGCCCAGCAATCCACCGGAAACCAGCCTGTGCGAACCCTGAGGATCACATCGGCCCGCCGCCCGAGCCATGGGTTAGAGCCAGCACTCCCTCCCAACCTCGTTGCCCTGAGACCGAAAAACAGTTAACAGTACGTTTCTTTCTTTCTAGCTGCCAGCCTTGCCCTGGCTCTGAATGGTGTCTTTACCAACACAATAAAACTAATAGTGGGGAGGTAAGTGCCAAGGGTAGCACCCCTGTATCTGAGATCTCAGCACCCTCCGAAGAGGCCAACGGCATCTATCATGTCGCTGTTTCTTGTGGTCCCTCTCCTTCCACCACAGCGTGCAGGTGGATCAGGGCACTCACTTCTCTACATCATTACCCACCGAACCACAGCAGCCCTTGACCTCCACACTGCAGCACTAATTTGGCCTCAAAAGAATTGTGAGAGTGGTGACCTCACCATACCCCCCCCCCCCCCCCCCCCCCCGTTTAAACCTTAACTCTTGGAATAATGGTGCTGCTCTATTAGTGCAGTTCCACTATTGTGCCTGGAATGCTATTCCTCAACGTGTGGGGGAGCTGAAGAAACTAATTGCTGGTTGCTGCTGAAAGCCAGCTCGTGTTCACACCATGCTCATCTCTTGCAGGCCACGCCCAGATTTCTTCTACCGATGTTTCCCTGATGGACAAGCCCATCCCGACCTGATGTGCACAGGGGACAGAGACGTGGTCAACGAGGGCCGCAAGAGCTTCCCTAGTGGACATTCCTCCTGTAAGACCAGCACAGCTGCCCCCTTCTGCCCTGCATTCGGGACCCTTGAGTGTTATTAACCTAGGACCTGTGCGAGGATGGGAATGTGACTCCTTGTTACCTTGACCTAGAGATGGGTCATTTCCCTGTAACGAGATGGGTGGTTTTATAAGCTCTGGCCTCAATTAACAAAATTAACAAAAATATTCCAGGACACAGCCGGCAGTTCACCTTCCTGAGACCTGCATAGTTTTAGTTTTCTATTTGTATAAATTCTGCAGTACTACAATTTACTTAAAAATACTTATTGAAGAGTAACTTGGTGCCACACCAGGTGCTTTCAAAAGCATCTTAGGTTCTTGGTTTGCACACACCACCCCCGACTGCCCATTGAAGGTGGGCACTGTTACCTTTATCGTTCCCATTGCTAGAGGAGCCTCACCCCATATCACTGAGCTCGGATTGTGCAAGTCTTTGGAGGCATAAGGTTCTTAACTTCGGGGCCCAAAATGGTCCTTCCTTTTGCCCTTTGTTTGCTTCTCCCCAACAATCAGTGATCTACAACAGAAGTATCACCTCCCCCACCCCATAAAAAGGAAAACCTGTCCATGCCTACTACCCCCTATTTGGAGATAGGTGATGTAACTTTTCCTTAAAAGCCATAACATACAGGTTTTCTCGTTCTAGTTGCATTTGCGGGCCTGGCCTTTGCTTCCTTCTACCTGGCAGGGAAGCTCCACTGCTTCACGCCCCACGGCAGGGGGCAAGCCTGGAGACTCTGTGCCTGTCTCTCCCCGCTGCTTTTGGCGGCTGTGATTGCCCTATCCCGCACCTGTGACTACAAGCATCACTGGCAAGGTAAGTGGGGTCTCAATGCCACAAACATGTGCCTCACTCCCTTCCTGGCCCCCAGCCAGTGTCCAGAAGAGCTGCTCTGGGTTCTCTAAGTAGAAGCCCCGATATCGAAGCCGGGGTGCGGTGGGGTGCCTGGGAAGCCTGGCTAGTGTTTAGAGGGCTGCCAGGGAGGGCTTTCATACGTTCTACTGTTTTTAAGTGTCAAATTCAAACTAAACTCCAAGGTGTTTTGAAAATCAGCCTCAAAGCTCAACTTCTTCATGTTGCAAAAGAAATAAAAATCAGGTGAACAGTCATGAAAGTTTGCTCAGAAACAAAAGTTAAACAAGAAAATACAAGGCTAGTAATTAAAAAAGAAATCTAAATTGGCTTAGTGGTAACACTTTGGGTTGCTAACTGCAAGGTCAGGATTTAAAATCCCGCTGCTCCTCAGGAGAAAGACAGGGTTTTCTACTCCTGTAGAGTTAAGTCTTGGAAAACCCCCAGGGGCAGTTGTACCCCGTCCTGCAGGGTCACTATGAATCGGAACCCATTTGACTGCAGCGAGTGACAGATGTATAATAAAACACCCAAGGTGCAAACTAGATTTGAAGTAAACACACAATCCCCAGTTAACAGGAGCCCTGTTTTTAAAAATAAACTCATGTTTTGAAAATTAAGGTAATTTGCGTTCATTCCTTCCTTTGAACTTTAAATGGGGAAAGGATTGATTGATAGCATCAAATCCACCTTCGTGGTTACTCTGAATTAAATTCAAAGTTAAATGCCTTTGGATTAAGGCGCTGGAAAACAAATCTGCCTTGGTAGTACAGCCAGAACATCTTTTGGAAGGGAGACTTCGTCTCCCATACTTTGCACATGCTCACAGGAGGGCCCAAGGACGTCATGCTTGGTAAAGATTAGTTAGAAAGAGGAAGACCCTCGATGAGATGGGTAGACACAGTGGCTGCAACAGTGGGCTCAAAGGGTGCAAGGAGGGTGCAGGACCAGGCTGTGTTTTGCTCCCTTTACACTTGGTGTCGCTGTGAGACGCACTAACTCAACGACACCTAACAATTTCCTGTACTCGGAACAAGGCTTATTATACTTGCTGACGGGTCTTGATGTTTAGAGAGCAGCAAATCAAAGATAATCTTACGACGTGAGCAAACGAATAGCATAAATGGTAAACGGGTATTTGTGGCACTGGTAAGTAGGAGTGGCCTGGAGGGTCGAGTCTGTCCCATGTGGGGATGAAGGGACTCCGGGAGTCTAACATGATGAAGTGGGCTTCTCTCTTCTCCCGCCAGACGTCCTAGCTGGATCCCTGATTGGCCTGGCGTTTGCCTACATCTGCTATAGGCAGTATTACCCTCCGCTGACGGATGCAGAATGCCATAAACCCTTTCAGGACAGGCCTGTGCTTCCCACTGTACCAAAGAAGCCTAGTGAGCCCTCTCGTTTTTACGTTTAGAAACTGGATCTTCCCTAGTGAAGACTATGTGACTGGGGCCTCTCCTAAATCATGCTCAGCAGAGGTAAATGGGGGGGG